TTTGCGGTAAGGAAATCCCCCTCTCCTACCTTGTGTGGCGAGACAGTGGTACCCAAGGACTTTTACTGATGAGTTCGTCCAGCTGGGCCTCACGGTATTCCTGGTGGGTGTGTCTTGGGCCGGGAGCACCTACTCCTGGAGTTCTGCTGCGGTCCTAGTCCCGATGATTTGCGGCGGTGCTCTTCTCGTGGCGTGTGGGATTTGGGGTGAGACCCGGCCGGCACTTTTACAGAAACTTGCAAAACCCCCCCAGCTGACAATTTGTGTAGAGGTCTATGGGACCAAGAATCCCTTATTTCCCCCGTTCCTATTCAAGGATATGAGAGGGTAAGTCCGGCCCCTCTATGAGCGCGCGGGCGCGCGGGGCTACTGACACGTTGCTGAAACTACTTTGAATTAGATTCACCAACGTCATTCTCATCTGCTTCGTGGCGTCGATGCCGCTGCTCTCGTCGCTGACCTTTTGGCCGATGCAAATCGCCAATCTCTACACGACAGACGCGGTCAAGATCGGGCTCTACACTTTACCCTTGACCATGAGCACCGTATTTGGAGGCGTATTGACGGCCACGATTCGATGGTGGAAGCCTACAAACTACTATCTGGTCGGGTGCGCATGCCTGTACACCGTCTTCACGGGGCTTTTGTCGACTCTCGGACCCGGGGATCTCAACAAGGCGTTGGCCTATGCCTTCTTGTACGGATCGGGCGTGGGACTTTTGGAGATTGCCATCATCGTCATCGTCCAGTTCTCGGTCAGCGCAGACCATCTCGGTGCCGTTACTGGCATCCTGAGCAGCATGCGTGGCATTTCCGGGGCGGTAGGAAGTGAGTTTTTGTCACCCCGTGTTGTGTACAAACCCCCCGACCGAGTCCTACCCTCGTCGGCTTCTAACGGTTGGTTTTACTGGTGCAGTCTCCATCTACGGCTCGATTATTTCGACACGCCTGGCTCAAGACCTGCCGCAGAGATTGGCGGGTGCCACACTCCCTCTGGGGCTTCCTGAGAGCTCATTCCCTCTCCTCCTCCAAGACATCTTCTCTGCCAACGTTGCCGGGATCCCGGAGATCCCAGGAATCACACCAGCAATCATACGGGCCGCCGACACGGCAAGGAGGCTTTCTTGGGCTGAAGCATTCAAGTATGTCCTTGCAACCGTCCCACGACTTATATTCCCCCCCCCCCTTCCCGCGGGCCCTGCCCGGGCTCCGTTCTCGCGCAAAAATGGCATTGGTACTGACAACGAGACTCTACAGGCCGATTTATTGGCTTGGAGCTTCGCTGGGGGTTGTAGCGGTCATCCTGTCCTATTTCACGCACGACATCACCCCCAAGATGGACAACCAGCTAGATCTCGATCTGAAAGAACATGAACCTTCCCACCTTCACAACGTGCTTCCACATCACCACCATCACAACCATCACCACCACCATCAGGATGGCAAGAAGGGAGAGGTAGAGCAGCAAGAAATTCGTGTTCATTCGACCGTCTAAATGTCAGGCACGGCCATCCATTCATCCATTCTTGTGACCAGATGGCTGGGTGTCCCTCGGCGAGACGTCTGGACTTGAGGCGAGCAGAATTCTGACACTGCTCTCTTCGAGCCCCATATGTACGCTCTTGTTCGGGTAGTACTAGTAGTTGATTTGTCACTCTGGAGTTGATCTACTCGGTGGTCCGAGTCCCCGGGAGGGGGCTGAGAAATGCAACAAGGATGAAGATGTGAAGATGGGCCCTCTACTTCTTTTGAAATCGGATGTAGAGACATAATAAAGGAGAAGACTGTCACAGACAAGCAGGCCAGGGGGCTGCTCGAATATCCACAGAGCCGTTACTAATGCTCGCATGATCACGGCGGACGAGGGAAAAATCCCCCCCTTCAAGCTACCCAACCAAATATCGCCCAAGTCGTGCATTCACGCGAAGCGCTAATGGGTCACACAGTCAAAAGCTCGGTTTCGTAACAGACTGATGAGTTCGCTGCCCTCTTCCCCCATTGTCCTCCAAAAACCCGGGGTTTCATACCCTGCCCATAACCCACCTACCAGACATGTGTTTTCCGGCGAGGAGGTCAAAGCTCTGTGAATTTCATTCCTTGGGGGATCTCCCGCCACTGCAACTCGTCGTCAAGGAGCGAGTCTCGAGCTTGCTCCCATTCCTTCTTGATCATGGCGGCCCGTTTGGCAGACCTCGGCACAATCGTCGCTGGGTATGGTTCGGGCATGACCACAGCTGTCTGGGTGAATCGCTCTGGCGTTGGGGGAACTTCTTTGCCGTTGATGATGGCAGGCTTGAAATCGAAAGCCCACACCAATTTCGACATGGCCAGAAACAAGATGTCGTCGGCGAGGTGGGTCCCCGGGCAGAGACGACGACCGCCGCCAAAGGCATAATGATCTCGCAGGTCGGGATCCGGGTTCGTGGCCGCTTCAAAAGAAGTCTGTTCGTCCTTCAGGAACCGGGCAGGGTTGAATGTTCGCGGGTCTTTGAACCGCACTGGGTCGTTGTTGAGAGTCCAAACGTTGATCAAAAGCTCGGCGCCCTTGGGCAAGACATACCCCATGTACGTCTCATCGCAGGAGAGGCAATGGGGGATTCCAACAATGACAGGAGGCATCCACCTCAGAGACTCCTTCACACAGCTTCGGAGATAGGGGAGGTTCTCGCGGTCGCTCAAGTCAGGCAGCCGACCATCACCAACAACACGGTCAAGTTCTCGCTGCGCCTCCTTCAAAGCCTCAGGGAACAGGATCAACGCTTGAATAAAGCCGAGGAGGTTATTGGACGAGGTGCCCGTCCCCGCCTCCATGGAGCCGCTCGAGACGTATGCCGCTCTTAGATCGGTGAAACCTTCCTTCTTCTGCAGTGTCACTAGATCGGCGGCAAAGCAGGGTTTCTGCGTGCCCTGCGCCATGGCAGTTTTGACCTGATTCCACAGTCGCAAGTAGATTGACATTTCGGTCTTGGTGTGCTCGATCGCCTTCCTCTTGGCCGGGAAGAGGAAAGCTGGCACCCATTGCAAAATGGGATATGCATCAGCCAAGGCTGCCGAGGTGACTTGGATGATACTCGACGTCTTCTCCAGCCTGTAGTTGTTGTTGTGTCAAGTTAACAGACTGACTTGGGGGGAAGAGTGGAAATAAAACCAAGTGCCACCTACGACTTGAGAATTTCCCTCATGGTGGGATTATCATATTCCGGCACACGTCTCCTGTTTTGCCGTCAGAGGGTGAGGGTATTGGCAAGACCAAAGTTGGATGTTTGCATTACCCATATGTGACCATCATAGCCATTGAGTTGGTGTATCTAGGAGACGGTGATATCAGCCTCGGTGACCTTGTATTATCTTTCCACACACATAAAGTCATTGCTACCTCTTGATATGGTACAGGAAGCCATCTGGGTTCGTACTGAGATCGTATAGCATTTTCTTGCTTTCAAGCTCGAGATATCTGGCAGGTCTGTTAGTCTCGTTGGTGCCCATCTCGGGTCTCGTTGATGTGCTCGGTACGGAAGATAAGTTTTGGCAGCAGTCGCCGTCAACAGTCGATGGTACAGCTTGCGGGACAGTCGCCAATCAGGCCCATAGCGCTGGAAAGAGGAAGTTTAGTTACCCGTGACAATACTCGGTACGGCAACTCAATTCAGCTCGCTTTTACACACCATTTGCAAAATGCGTTGACCATTACCGAGAAGGTCATGAGCAATATAATGTGGGCCACGCTCATTTGTCGACGCGCTCCTCTTGTCGATGAGTTCTTTGACCGCCTTTCCATCCGAAAGTACTATCATCGTCTGTACGCCTAGTTTGATGCTGTAGATTGGTCCGTACTCGTGAGCCCATTTCTGGAACTGCTTGTACATGTCTCTTTTGGGCATCTACCACGGACTCTGCTTAGCATGCGAGACAGCGGTTGGAAAGCTGTCTACCTTCAAGCGAACTGGGTTACCTGTTTGATATTCCCCCAAAATGGATCGGTGGGCGGGCCAGGGGGCAACCCGGGTGGTCGTTGCCCAATACGTGAGAGAGTATAATAGAGGGCGAACCCGACGCCCACGAGGCCGAACAATAGCAGTTGTTGAGTGATAGTCATCGTAAACAGCCCGGTCTACCGTTTGTCAAAGAAACCATGGGCCAAGAGCGTAGGATGAGAGGGATACAAAGGTAGTCCGTACGTAGGTGTATCTTTCAAGCCTGGACTCTTATACCAGAATGTTGAATAAAATGGTTACGACAGTGAGAGTGTGCGTCAGATGAATTGCCGTCACTTCCGTTGGCTGAGCTCCATGACCAAAAAAAAAATAGTCCGTTTCGGTACAAACGTATGACCCCGTTGAGAGGAGATCCGATCGTCACCGCTATGTACAGTTACTAGGGACTTGTTCGATGGAGGAAATTTACCCGCGACTTTGAAAGTCGTCCAGGAAAACCAGCGTACAAGTAATGCCATGCCGGAGATTCTCCAGGTTACCAGGTCAAGTTAGCGAAGAGCGGAGTGCAGTGCCATGTTTGTTCCGTTGGCGCTTCTCGTTCACCGGTGATCGCTTTTGGTCGGCGCAGACTCTCCTTGACACTCGCCGAATTGTTTCCCGCCGCATCCAAACTTGTCTCTGGGCGAATGCAACTGGCCGGGGTCAAAGCTGATCTTTTGACCAGGTACGCAACCAAGCCTTTCAGACCCTGAAGGCTGGATGGACATGTCAGGGGATTGACGATTTAATCGAGTTTCAAGTTCCGAAACGCAATTCTCCGGGAGCCTTGTTCGTTTCTATCCTGGTTGGGGTCACATGGTCCAATAGACGTCTCCTTCCATATTAGGATGATACATTCCCTTTTAGGACAGATTGCGTACCTTCCCTAATATGACGATGGCTACCCTCGCCACTTCGATGAAATGCTCATGCTTGGACAACATCAGCTGCACCGGGGGTGAAAATAAATATGATACAGACATCTTCACTCGGAATGCCAAGTCATCGTTTCTTCATACCGCACATCTATGCGAGCTTTCCAGCAACAAGTGTCTTCAAGTCTTCTTCCGTCAGCTCTTTGATACCAAGAAGTTCGTTGTCGTTCTCATCATAAGCGGCGCCGTAAGCGTCACCAGCAAAAGCTGTACCCCCTATCACCTTCAAAATAGCGGCTGTGCTAAAGTCACCGGCGCTGAGTCCATCCAGGCCCTCTTTCAGCACTGCACTTGCCGGTACCCGGGTAATTTGCCAGTTGATATCCGGTCTCAGCTCTTGTGCGATTCGCAGCAGCTGGTTCTGCGTCAAGATGACCTCGGAAACTCGCACAACCCTGTTCTCCGTGGCCTCGAGATTCTTCAAAATTCCAACAATAGCCTTCCCGATAACAGGCAGCGACGTGGAGCTAATCCTGTTGTCACCCTCGTCGAACAAGACAGCCTTGTGATTAGCAAAATCAAGAAGCGCGGGAGACCCAAACAAGAACTCTAAGAAGCCACCGCATGCAAGGACAGTCCAAGTCAGCCTTCCCGCCTTGGCCTTCTCTTCAAGATAGCGCTTGATCTTGAACATCGAGGCATAGACGGGCAAGTTTTCGACTTTGGGGCTGGTCGTGACAGTGCCATATTCGGAGGGGATGAAACGCTTCACCCCGGCGGCGATGGCGGCGTCGATAAGGACGGTTTGGTTCTCGATGGCCTCACCCGCCACGGTGGACACGAGCGCATCGATCCCTTTGAGGGCGGCAGTCAAGGACTCGACGGATGTGTAGTCGACTTGGACAAATTTGGCCGTCGTCTGATCTGCCCCTGACTTTTTGGAACGGGTGAGAACAGTGACGGCAAAGCTCGCGTCGACAAGGGCTTTGAGGACATGAGGTCCCAGATTGCCAGTTGCCTGGTGCCCAAACTGGTCAGCTCATTTTTCCGTTTACTGTGGCATTCTTCGACATTACATACACCAGCAAGAGCGACTGATTTGATCTCAGACATGGCGGAGAGAAAAAAAAAGGCTAACGTGGATAATCCGGAGAGAGACTTGTTATTATACCGACATGTATGTTTCGCTCGTTTGATCGATCAGTCAAGGAAAGGAAAGGAGCCCGACCCCAAGGAGCCCGACCCCATGGGGGGTTTGTAAGAGCATTTATACTCTCTCGTCCGGTAGCAGTGGCTATTGTAATTCCAACCATGATCGATTCCCATGCCGAGCCAAGACCATCACGCTATTTATTGTTATTGGTTTCCCATCAATTGCGCCATGTGGAACATTGAGGATCCCGCATGTCTGGCAGCCTGAAACACACCAGAATCTCCGCCGGTGGCCGGACGAATGATTCCGGGATGCCAACACTTCGTATCAACACGAGTCGGCTGGCTACTAGCACCCAAAATGAGCATTTGTGCTGCACTGTGCACTGTGCATAGACTGCCAAGAAGTGCTTGCATGTGTATGTACGACGCCGTGTACACGGACGAAAAAAGGGCGATGCAATAGCTCCCTCCCTCCACTGTCCGCCGACGTTATGTAGTGGTGGCAATGTGGTATCTTTCTGCCACGGTACCTCTCAAAAGACACGAGAAACCGTGCAGGGACCCGAGATCTTTGCACCGGAAGATGCCCTCTCGATATAATTACTGCCCATCAGTTGAGGCTTTTGTCCCTCATTGTGTCGACAACATACTAGTACTCCCAACAATATGGGGGTGAAGATCTCTCCCAACCCCTAAAACTTCTTCTTGAAAGTCCTCCTGAAAAACTCCTCTGTGTAATTCCCCTCGCTGTCAAGCTCCTTTTCACATTCCTTCCAAGCGTTGATGATCATATCCTTTCGGTGGGCGTCTCGTGGTTTGATGTCGCATCTACCCAGACACAATCAGTCGGTGTGAGCTTCAGGAACAACAGACACGGTTAACGTAGGGGAACGACTACTAACTCAAAATCAGCAGGGCGGACAATAAATCCTGGGGTCACGGCGTCGGGTTCGATCGGGGTTGGGTTGCCATTGCTGTCGTACTTGCGTCGGATGTCAAATGACCACAGCATGCGCGAGATTGCGATGAAGAGGGCTCGCTCGGCAACGTGGAATCCAGGGCAGACACGCCGTCCACCGCCAAAGGTAAAGTGAGGCCGTTTGGAAGAGTCGGGGCTGATTGCCGTGCTTTCGAGGGCGGTGCTTTCGTCGGTGAAACGCTCGGGTCTGAATTGCCGGGGCTCTGCAAATGTCCCGTGGTTTAAAGTCCACACCTGGAAGAATGGGCTTGATTAGTCCATGGATGGAATCAAATCTGCTCGCCAAGGGGATGAACATGCATTGATCAAAACCAACGAACGCTTGGGAATCACCATTCCGTTATAAACGTCGTCCTTCAATAAGGAATGAGGTGCTGCCGCCGTCAAAGGACTGGGGGCCCCTGTGCGATCTGTCAGATGTCGGACATATATATGGCCTGACCTGACCGTGGCTCACATCGCACCGTCTCCTCCACGATCGCACGTATATACGGGAGACGGGCTCGGTCATCCCAGCTCGGCATCTTGTCTGCACCTATGACGGAATCGATTTCTTTTTGGCCTTTGGCCTGGACTTCGGGATACAGAGCCATGGCCTAAGAATGCAGCATAAGCACAAGGGCCTCGTCAGGCGAGACACTTCGATTCGATGGGGGGAGCGAAACTGACCTTTATGAAGCCCATCAATGTATTACTCGTCGTGTCCCTTGAGAAGGTCAGAGTCCCAGGTTTATTCATTCCACCTTCCCCTCAATTATGGGTGTTATTTCCAGTGAATATACCGAGTACTCACATTGCTGCACCGAACCCATTGCCGGCGTTATGTGCAATTTGTACATCCTCAAGTCTATCAGCGTCCTTGTCGAGGAGCATGTCAGCTGTAAAGCCTAGGGCACAGAGGGTCTTGTTAATAAAGATTTCTCATGGCGAGGGAGGCAGAGAGGCACTCACAAGGATAATGCTTGCCCTCCTGGATCCTCCTCTTCGCTTCTTCCAGCAAGGGAAGGAAGGTAGCATTCTCCAATTGTCGAATGCGACGCAACGTGCGCTTGTAGGAGCTCATCCAATGGGGCATGATGCGGTACCATGGCTTGAGAAAGGGGTAAAAATCCACGAGTTGGAAATTAATTGCGTCTGAAGTGGCGTCAAACCACTACTAGTAATCTTGAGCGTCAGAGCATATCTTTCGTCTATCATATCTCAGATAGACATGTTTTGACAACTTGAAGGTTTACATTACCTCCAAGAGTCTCTTCACCCAACCATCATGGATCTTGGGAGTTCTCCACCCGTATATCAAGGTTGTGGACACGCTTGCGGTAAATCTTCGCGTGTGTTCGAGAAACTCTTCGGGTTGGTAGAGAAGATCATGGAGGAACTGGACTGACTCGAAGTGCTGGATTCGTAAATGTCAGTACTAGCCTCTGATAGTATCCTATGATTGTCGATCTAGAGGGACGATCGTGTAGTAAATATTTACCTGATAGGGCAAATACGTGTCGGTGGTTTTCACGTTCAGACGAGCATGATACAGTTTCCGCTGTCTGCGCCACATATCATCGTTGCTGTCCTCGGACCTTTTAGTGTCTGTTCTGTCTGCTTCGGCGAACCCTTGTCCTCCCGGTTTCGACTTACTCGCGAAGGAGAATATTGTAGTTGTCAAGGTATTCACGAATATAGATGTCCGGTCTGGCAGAATAAATGTTGCTTCTCTTCTCGAGCAATTCCCGAACCGCTGTGGGGTGGTTGAGCATGATCATATCAGTGGCACCCAGTTTCAGGGAGACGATTGGGCCATCTGGTCGCGATCTCAGTAAGTTGGGCACTCGTCATAGAGCTGGCTGGACTCTGTACATTTTTTAGCAATCTCTTGGAAACCAAGGTGGAAGTTCTTGATTGGTATCTGTAGCAAGTTGCCTACGATCGGTATCGTTGGCGGACCTGAAAAAAGTTAGACAGCAGCGAGAGAATCTGTTTGAGAGAGTATTGCAAACGTACCTGGCGGATAGTTTTTAGGCCGCATTCCGATATGTAGAATTTTGTATATTAAAAACAAGCCGACGACGACGACAACATATTGGACGGTACTAACATCTCCCGTGGACACAGCCATGATCCTACTAGAGCTGGCAGGACTCATGAGGCTACCTGGGTACTCGGTAGTAGTATTCTGCTATTCTTCGATAATTACACAGTCAGCGCGGCGAGGTCATCCAGAAAACCCTCTTTGGGGCTTCTCCCTCCGGCGTTGAGATCTATAGACCCATCTCAAGGTCACCGAACCAGCTAGGTAAGGCTTCCGAGAATGTAATTCAGAAGAAGCATTCCGAAGTTGTAGTACAGTCCCCGGATCATAGGAGGATGAATACTCCGTAAGCCGGATATGGAGACCCCACATTCTCGTAGAGCCCCACACAAAGAAGTAGTAGAAAGCGGCATCCGGGTCGGCGACCTTCCGGGACAAAAGGACTGCGACGTAACATTTATCCGTTATCTGTAGGGGAATCTTTAGGGGAGAATCCAAGATTGACATCGTGGTAATGCATTTTGAGGAGCACCGTAACGTTCGTGCATAAATGTGTACGAGAGCTCAAGCAAGGAGAGAAGTGAAATCACTGTTAGGTACATGTGACTAGTCACGTGACGAGGTCAATTTCCAAACTGATAACTCAGATGAATGATTCGGACGAACATGGAAATCTAGCGCGCGCTGAATTAGGAAAGTATCGTGACGCGTTTCAAATGCAACTGTACTTGTGAATGGGATTTCTGGCAATTCCTGCCGCATACTAGGTTCATCCGTGTGATCCTATTTGGTACTTGGTAGAAGTCTGTAACACTGTCAATGATGGAAACGCGCGTGTGATGAGTGTGGGAGGGGAATCAACCAGCTCAAGTGACATGACTCTACACCAACCTCGATAATACCATGATCAGCCAAAGCCAACAACGCCTCTAGTACTGCTACTATATAGTGAGGCGTAGCTACGAGGTACTTAGCCCCAAATTGTTTGCACCATATTTTTAGTTACCAAGTACTGAGTACCCAGTAGAGCCTAGGTGCTCGGCGGCTGGCGAGCGAGCGCGGCGATTCGAGCGTATTGATAGAGTCCGGGCGATGACCTCCTGGCGTAGGTCAGTCAGCGCCTGGTGATTCTTAACCACCTCTCCAAGGTGGAGCTACAATCTTTGCAGAAGCTTCAAGAAGCCACGGCTACAGTAGTACCGTATAGTGCTTGAAAGAGCGCTGGCAGCAACCTCTCTCATCAATTATCGATAACTCACTTACTAGTAGTAGTTTGATAGTACTGTACAGTGTTGATGTGCATCCGACGCGGATCCGACGCAGCATCAAAACTGCATTAGAGCAGCATCAGAGCAGCATCAAACAGCTCGGGGGGGTAGTAGTAGTACTCATCTCGCTGAGACTCAGTTGTTGTTCCCAAGAAAATTTTCACGCTCGCTCAGCCTTACCACACATCTCATGGCTGGCTGAATTTCCATCCCGTCTGCGTCTGCATGTTTCGTAGAGGTGCTGTTGAAAGATGCAGGGTCTCGATGCTGAAATCGATTGATTGGCCAGACGAGAGGAGAAGGTGTTCAGCTCCAAATTGCTCTTACCGAATTGGGCGAGAGACAAATGGTGGGTTGCGCCTTCCCAAGCTGTACCTGCGCACGTGGAATCCAGACCGCAACTTGAAATTCACGACGAATCCAATCAATCACTTGGGGTTCCTTGTACTGCAAGGTCCTACAGCTTCAGACACCCTTGGTCGTCTCAGGGTCCAGAGCTCTCGAGCTGAACCTCAGCCACCAGCCTCAGCCTCACCGATCAGTCCAGGCTATCCTCCTATAAAATAAAAGAGGCAGATTCTCTGTTCTTGCTATCTCCCTCTCACCACGATTGCTGCTGCCTACTACTAGTACTTACTTAGTAGTTCGTTCTCATCATGGCGCCAATATTCGATCTGCTTCAACGCCGCAAGGAACGATTCGTGCTTTGGTCTCCAGCCAGCCAGTCAGTGCCGCGATTGATTCTCGGCACTTTCAAGGCTACACCAAGCCCCGGAGCGGTGACGACTTTATTCGCTGGCGACCTGTCACAAACGCAGAACGGCCTTTGGGAACTCGCCCCGGATACCATACAGCCACCGCTGCAGAATGACAAAGTCTACCATTACTGGTTCGAGGTGGATAACACCTATCCTACCTCAACAGGTTCGGGCAAGATCAAAATAACAGACCCACTCGCATACACTGTAGACTACAAGCAATTTGGGGACCAACCACGGGTTGCTTCGATGCAGCCTCCAGCAGTGATCAAGTTCCGTGACGGAAAGCTATGGCCGTGTGATATCGACGGGACAGAAGTGGAACGGGTCCCTGATCCAGTCCAATCCCAAGTTCCCCCCAATAATCAGATGGTCATCTACGAGTTGCCAGCTTCGTGGGCGAAATCTGGCCCAAATGGCAAGCAAATTGATCGAGGCACTTTTGCCGATGTCCAAGCCTTGTTCGACAAGGCCACTCCCGGGGTCAGATTCAGCAGCATCTCTGCGGTTCGGAAAGAGGCTATTGTGGCTGATCTTGGGATCAATGCTTTGGAGCTCCTGCCCATCGCAGACTCCAAGTATCAGGATCAATGGGGATACTCGACCGCTCATTACTTTGCCCCTGACGCGGATCTTGGTTCAACTGCTAGCCTCGTTGACCTTATTCAGACAATAACACCTAGCACAAGACTGATTCTGGACACGGTCATGGCGTTTGGCCATGACCCCTACATATATGCAGCATTCATGCAGTTCCATCTTGTTGCTCTGGATCCCGACCATCCAAACGACCCATTGCAAAAATTCACGGAATCTGGGAATGCCGACAGCTACACATCCCACAACCAAGGACCGAGGAACCCGTACGGAGGGAGTCTCTGGCGATATATCAAGGATCCCCAGCAGACGTATGATCCACAGACGGGTCAAGCGACCTTGAAACATCCGCCATCGTGGTCATTCCACAGGGCTCATCTCCATCGCTGGCTGCTCGATTTCGGCGTCTCTGGTCTTCGATTGGACAGTATCAACAATGTGGCCAACTACAACTTCATCAAATATTACAAGGACTACGCGTGGCAACTACATCAGACAAGAGGTGGCTCGACCAACAAGTTCATCGTCATAGGAGAAGAGCTTAGCGTGCCGAAAGATCTTCTCACCTCTGGCACCCTGAACGCACTGTGGAACGAACCTTTTCAGGGCCGCATCCGAGCGGCAATCGTGGGAGAAGCTGCTGACGGTGATAACTTTGAGTGGACAGTCAGAAAGATGGTCGACTGCACCTTGGACGGATACACAGATGGAGCGCAAGCGGTAAACTACATCACATCGCATGATGTCGAAGGCAATCGGAAGGAAAGATTGTACAACTTCCTGTCTAACTGCAGGGTCGATGACATCGAACGACGGGCCAAGCTGGCGTTCGCATGCTTTCTCACCGCTGTTGGGATCCCTATGATTTTCGCTGGTGAGGAGTTTTGTGATCAGATGGACCTGGACATTTCCGAAAAACAATCAGATCCCGTGAACTATGAGCGAAAAAGTGACGACTGGAGGACTCGGGTCTTCAATTATGTGGCCACGCTCGTTGACCTGCGCAAGAATTGTCCTGCGCTGGGCGTGGACGACACATCGTTCATCCACGTCGACCAGAGCCGTGGCGGGAAAATTATGGCCTGGGTGCGAGGGACGACCAACCCCGTGGTTGTCGTTGCCAACTTTACGGATCAAGACACTCCGGGGGCTCAGTATGTTGTGCCAAATTGGCCAGATAGGGACCGCAATGACTGGAGGGAGATTACACAGAATCGGGCAGTGCCTGCGGCGTGGGTTGGGAAAGAGCCCTTGATGCATTGGGAAGCAAAGGTTTATACGTGTTGGAAGGCTGGTGCTGTGAATGGGCAGACAAATGGTGTGAACGGTACGCACAGCAGCGGATGAGCAGACGCCGTGATATTGACCCTGATCGTTCATTCGTCCCATTTGAGGCGGGAATCTTGGCCATGAGAGATCCAGTAGTTGGCTATCAGCAGATACTTAATGTCTATTGCGTGAGACTGTGATACCTCCTGTCTGTACCTCGTAACTAGTAGGTAGTATATCCCATCTTGATCGCCAAGCCACTACTAAGTATTTGGTAGATATAGGGATCAGAATGACAAGGCTGATGGTTCAAGGGGCATGGAGATATGGGTCTCGAGGCGATGGTGATGATGGCGGTAGTGTATGTATATCCTTATCATATATATGTACGTACATATACCTACTCAGTAGGTACCTACGCTAGGTACTAGTATGGTACGCGGTACGCGATGTACTACCACTACTACTACTCGCACACCTCGTGATACGGTAGACAAGGGGCGAACGCAGGGACGGCCAGTTAGTGCCTCACCGGTCAGTCCATCGACAGCGTCTCTCCGGCGGTATCCCGCTCCACGGGTACTCGTAGGCAGCATGCAAAGAGGGGGCCAAAAAAAAAAGGATGAGGCGACCAATCAGCCAATTACCTAGTAGATACTAGTAACTAAGTACTTGTAGCATTGACGAGTCTTACATACATGCATACATGAGAACATACATACATGCTAAGTACTAAGTATATCTATACTTAGTGTCCCGATACTAGTATGTATGCCTGACCCTGGTCCTTGGGGAGGAGTTTCGTCGTCATGTCCAATCTTGAGGACTCTATCTACTAAGGGACCAAAAAAAAAAAATTTAAATAGTCAAGGAGTGGTGAAGAGACCGAGACAAATGAATGAGTGAATGGATCATCAAATGGCGTCGTCAACTCACGTGACTGACCGTGACGCTGACCGTGACGGTAACAATACATACGTCGTCCCTCAAAGTAAACACGCACACTGTCCCGAGACAGTCGACGCCGACGAACTCGAACAGGCCCTCAAGGACCGCGAGACCTGGACGAATGTCGCGTGGAAGGGCGTGCATGTTCTCGATATTGACGAGGGGGGCACGTCTCGTGAGTTTTTTACAGCCTTTACCCAGCTGGATCTTTTCTTTGTCTCGAGGGGTTATTTTGTCTGACTGATCGTGAGGCAGATTGGCGTCGTAACTTGGATGGTCGGGCACTGGAGAGGTTCTTGTCGGTGAGTACTCGATATATCTCCAGGTATCTCAATATGATATTCCATCTATGGTACCTTTTCACCTGCTTCTACATGTGATAGGCACTGCTAGCCTGGCTGACTGTCTGGTAGACTGACCGGTCGCCAAACGCAGGACTCGCATCCTCCGCCCCAGAACTGCTTCGTGCGCGTATTGTATGCCTCCTTCAATCACCTCCCCCCCCCTTTCCTGCCACCTCCTGAATTCCGATTCTGGACCTAACGCACGCACAGCTTCCTCGAAAGCCTTGGCCCCGGCCGCACAGACAGCGAGATTGGCGACGTCGCGGTCGACCCGACCATTCTCAAACTGTTGCGCGCCCGCGCTGGGCTCTCAGACCTGTTGATCACAGCCGTCTGCGGGTTGGGACACTGGTACACGATCAAGCACGCACACTTTACCGGTCGAGATGAGCGGGGGAAAGCCCAATCTTTTGGTTCGAAGCACCCAAGCCTCCTCCTCCGTCTAAAGCAGCAAATGAGGTCAGAGGAACTAACCACCAAACGGCTTATGGGATAGATATGTTGTATGAATACGCCCCAGCCGCTACTGCGTGCACACAGGTTTCAACTTCCCTCGCCACGGGCTCGTCGATTTACTTTTGTCTCAATTTCCCTCCTTCGGCCGTCCCGCGACTCGCCCTGCACAACCTGCGCGTTCCGTTCAAGTTGGATGTGGTCGTCGCAGACGAGACGCTGAGACTCTGGCAGCGGGAGATGGCGACCATCCGAGGCCGCATGAAGCGATTCGTACGTCGTTTGTCCATCTATACCTTTCTTCCCGGCCGGTCCTGGGGTCGAGAGGTAGCGCAAAAGGTTTCGTGCTTTCTCACGTTGGATAGGAAGCAAACGAACCCCACGAGGCTGTGGACTCGATGATCAGAGAGCTCCACCGCCTCTCCAGGAGTTGGCAAATTCTGTTCCGCAAAGTCTCAGAATTTGAAGCACATCTCGATTTCTTGCACGAGGTGCGGACCAGTTATGTTTCTCTGGCTGAGCCTGCGGTGGTGCAAAGTACGAGTCAGCCTATCGAACAGTCCGGCGAGTCTCTGGCTTTCCTCATGTCGAGCTGTCGCTCCCTCAGACAACTCGTCGCAGACTACAGAGCCCGCACGGCGACACAAATCAATCTGGTGAGATAAGCCAGCCCCAGTGGCAATATTTTGTGAGAAGAAGATTGTGCGGAACCTGATCAATGCGTGACAACAGCTTTTCCATCTCGCCAACCAAGCCGAGAGTCGCGACAACAAGGAGATTGCAGAACTCACGGCCAGGATTGCGCAGCAGACCCAGCGCGACAGTGCGTCCATGATTACCATCGCCGCCGTGACCATGTTCTTCCTCCCCGGGACTTTCGTGTCGGTACGTGTGAACACAAGGGCCTGGCAGCTACTGGGTCCTTCGAGTGGCATTTGATCCCTCAAACGGAAGAAGGCTGACTCCGACCACAGTCGTTATTGAGCACGGTAGTCTTCAACTTTGACGGCACCGACATAAGCGTGTCGCAGATGTGGTGGATATTGCCTGCCACCGCCATTCCCATGACTGTTTTTGTATTTGCTGTCTGGCTGTTGTGGCTCAGATGGAGACTCTCGCACGACCGAAAGGCCATGGTGACCACGGATGGTGCCAAGCAGCTTTGAGGCCAGGGTGATTCGTATATGAACCTGAAGTCGGCACCAGAGCACCATCTACGGAGCGTGTAAGGGGTCGAGGTACTGGAAAACATATCCAGGAGTCGGTCATGTCAAGTGACCCGAGCTCAACCCAGGCGAATAATTCCATAGTCCATTTGGACAGAACGGTGTGAGAGGCTTCTAAGCCCAAGGTTGAACAGCTGTACAAAACTGGAACAGATGATCCAAGCAGACAGGTTGCATTCTATCCTGCTGTAGCCCTTGTGCACACCTGTACCGCTCTAAGCCTGGAATGTTGAATTGTCTGAAGCTGACATACAGCGTAATCATCCATGTCCACGCAGCTGGTTCAATAACAGCAATGCCTGGCCGTGGCTACGAGAGTCTGGAAAGAGACGCTCAACAAATCCGAGCACGATAATCAGCGTTTGCTTCAGATCTCGATTGCTCTGCTCAACCTTTTGATAGATATTCGCCAGTTCAGTGGCTTTGTCAACCACAAAGTCGATTGTGCTCGGGTTGACGGCATAGCTGAATCCTGCGACGTCACTGGCCGGGAGAAGAGCCAGGGCGAGGTTGAACAACAGGAGAAGTGCCGTCCGGGCGGATGTAGGGATAGTCTCTTGGTCCCATCGTCGGGCGCGCTCGAACCAGTTGCCCAGCAGTCTCTCCATCTCCCTAACATCGCACGCGTGCTCGGTATCTGCGATTTGCTCGATATAGCGGCAGATAGTGGTCCTACCTTCGACAAAGGACGAAAACGCCGAGCCTCCCCATGGATGGCATATATGACCTTGGTACTCCGGCTCTATCTCTCCGGATGTCGGACCGGTGAGAATCATCAGCTGGGTCAAGCCTTTGGCCAGACTTGAAGTGGGCAGAATGGAACTTTGCAAAACCTCTTGTGCTCCACGCGAGGGCTTCGACCGCTTGTATTCGCGCAAAAGTTTGAGCGTCCCACGCAGGTGTACTACGGCTGCTGGGAGGTTGTTCTGGAACAGCTCTATGACCCACGCAACAAGGGAAGCGATGACCACATGGAGCTTAGGAGGGTTCTTGTTTCTGATCTCAGCTATGGCGGCAATGTAGTGGGAGACCGCTCGCGAGGTCATTGTGGGAGTGGCAGCGGTAACACCTGTGTGGAACTTTTCGTGCGTCATGGAGAGAGCAACGAGCATGTGTTTGACGGCAGGAGATTGCTGGGCGAGCTGGGGGACAAGGACGGTGTAGAAATCTCCCTGTGGGCCATAGTGGGCCAGGACGGGTGATGTTAGGAGGAGCCAGTGCTGTAAAGACCGTAATTCTTCACTCGTACCGAACGACGCGTCGACAGTCTTGGAGAGGAGCAGCTCATCGTCGCAGGTAGCTGTCTGTGGGATCCGACTCGGTAATCCTCGTTTGGACGAAGGACTTCCACGACTTTCTAACGTGAAGATCTTGGCCGCTGGAATCGCGTACCCAAGACACTGACGATTCCCCCTCCTGCAGTTCAAACAGGCAGGCTTCGCTTCATCACACTTTACCCTGCGTTGCCTTGCCTCGTGAGCAAGTAGGGCACACACAGGGACGCAGACTTACTTGCATGTAATGCACCCTGTCCGGACTTTGTGGGAGAAAGCCTTCTTCCGCGTCGTGCTGAGCCTGGAAATTCTCATCACCGCAAAAGTTAGGGCAAAGGATAGCCAAACCGCGTCTCAGGATCCAGAAGTCAGTCCAAGAATGCGAATTCTCAGGTCAAATCGACATATATTGTGTCTACTAGGAATTGTCGAAGCCAAGAATCTCCGTGTACAAGATTGAGAAGATTGGGGGCAACGAGAACTGACAGCTCCAGCTGTGACCTCGAGGGACTTCTGATTGGTTGGTAGGGGTTTGCTGACAGGGAAGTGTCAGGGTGTGCCAGCTAAGGCGTCCCACGCGGCTTGTGCAAGGCTCATCTAAGCCAGAGGTCTTGATCACCCTGGGTGCACCCTCCCTGTCTGGTGGATGATCGCCCGGGCACATCCACGATGGGGTGTCTTGGGAGGTCCGGCTGCCTACCATTTAACACCACATGCGCAGGGGATGGCGAGGGGCCCCAAGACCAGTTGTGGTCGCACAGCAGAAATGTCTCAAGGGATCTGGCGATGGAAATGTACCGAGTATTTAATGAACATCGTGTGTGTGACAGGGCGTCGGTTAGTTGCTTGGGGGCGGATCTGCTGGCGTTTTGAAGGGTGTCGAGGGTATTTGCCCTGTACCACGGCCCTGATGAGCTGGCGGTTCCCGAGCTGCATGGTCATGAGCAGACAATCTTCAGCCTTATACTCGAAGTAATCGTGCTCAGCAGGTGTGCAGGATGGGCGACAGGGCTTAGCGCATGGGTGGAGGAAAGGATGACCATATCGAGTCTGTCTGCGTCTCTTCTTATTCATTCTGGAGTCTCGGTAGGGAGGTGGCACAAGCCGCAGATTACTGCTTGATTAGTGGCTCGGGAAGCACATCCATGCGCCCGAGGCCCGGACAGGGACAAAGAAGGACATGAGATGGAGGAGAACAGGAGTAAATACAGCACATGAAGGTTGTGGACGGCTGGTCAATCTCCCTCCCACTCAGATGGTGACTTGTCTCGGTGCAGCCGCCAAGCCACCAGAGACTGCGACTTTTGTCGATGCAGCCACTTTGATCAAGACGGATTCAGCATGTTGGTTCAATCAACACCCTAACAGATTGATTGCATCTTAGCGTTGATGCTACAATTCAAGCACCAATGCCCAAGGCCTTTGTTTGTCCCTCGACGTCGGCTCGAGCGAGAGAGTCGCACTCAACCCGCGCTGCACCACCTCCTCACCCGGCAACCCAATCGTCGAGCTCAATCATGCATAAGTCTGTCGCCCTGGATGTGCGCCTCGTCGCTAAGTCCTTACTGAAAGGTACCTAGTCGAGCATTTTGGGCGGGAGGAGATGGCGTGTCTTTGCTTTCTAGCGCCCTTCGGTTACGGGAAGAGCGACGAGCGACTGCGGCTTCAACTGCTATCGTTACCTACTCTGTTATCTGCGCCAGTTCCGGCCATGGGCTAGACAAAGAAGCGAAACAGTCTCTAGGACTCTCCAGTTTTCAGCCTCACAATTTACTCCGTTGGAGCCAGTCCCCACCGTCATGCCGCCGAATCCACCTTTGCCAGTATCAGATCCCCTCAACCTCGAGAGATCGACCTCAGTCGTGTTTTGAATGTCAACGCTTGAAAGACAGCGTCGTTACTCGCAATGGATGGGGACGAACATGCGCTTTTTCACCCCCGACGGTCTTTTCGACGCCAGAACTCGTCGCTGATGCCGGAAAACAGCTACGAACGAGCGCCACAGGAGGATCATGAGTTCCAGGACCTCGCCCCTTCATCGGAATGGAGGGAAGAGCCTGTCGTCGGATTGAACATCTCGGGCTTGTCGAAGCTAGTCAAGCGTGTTCCAGTGGGTTCCAAAGGACAGTCTTTCACGAGTACAGATGCTTCCAAGAGCACGGTTGCAGCGCCAGACTCGATCGTGTTGGGCCCAAGTCGCAGTACTCCTTACCAAAATACCTCTTCCCCCGAAGAAGATGCGAAATCGTTCAGGTCGGGCCGATCGTCGTACAGCCGACTCAATCAACAAACCTCACAAGACTTCTCTCCAGAAGTCGGACTATTGCCTACTCACACTAGGGTTGATGAGAACTGTCCAACGCATGGCGACATCTTGACAAGTCCGTGGTCGTGGTGGACTATATCAATAGTAGCCCTCGCAGTTTACTCGACCGTCTTCTCGGGCGTCTTCCTCGGTATCGCATTTGCAAAACCTCGATGGGGCCAACGAATCGGCACCAACGGCCACCTCTCCTTTGGGAACGCCACTCTTCTCTCCGCTCTGCTATCTAAGACGGTCGAGTTATCCTTTGTCACCATTTTCGTGGCGCTGCTTGGTCAGATATTGAGTCGTCGCGCATTTGCAAAGACGGAGAAGAACAGCGGCATCAGCATCGCAGAGATGACCATGAGGTCATGGGTCATGCAACCGGGAACACTCATCACGAACTGGATAGTGGTCAGATATGCTGCCTCGACTATCCTCGGTATCATGGTGCTCATCGCCGTGTTGGCCGCGACCTTCTACACCACCGCCGCCGAAGCATTGGTGGCGCCCAAGCCAAAGTTTGGGCCTCTGGAAGATCGAACGCTTTGGGGTCAAGTGGCAGCTTCTTACGCCAACTCGATCTATCTTGCCCAAAGCTGTGAAACGCCTGTTCAAGAGGATCCTGACCCCGATGGCGTCGGTCCGCATCCCGAAGGCGATACATGTCTGCAGATCGACTATGCAGGACAGAGCTTTCACAACTTCAAATCATTCATGTCGGACTGGCGCGAGAGGCTGAACGTCGGAAATCTGAGCTTAGACCAAAGTTCGATCGGTAGTCGCCCTGCACCAGTCGCAACATTGTTCGACAACACTACGGTCCAGGGGCAATGGATCACCCCCAGCAATGAGAGTATCCTGGCCGACTCGGAGAAGTGGTCCAGACTCGTGCAAAATGTTACACTAGCGATGCCCCATGCGAACTTATTCAACGCTGCGCGCGACCCCAGAAACCGGATCCTGCAACCCGAGGATCTCCAGGGGAACGGGGAGTACTTCATTCAGGCTGCGATACCGGCGCCTCTGATCAATGTCTTGTGTGTGGGTATGTCGACAGCTGAGCTGGAACCCATGGTCGTCAACGTGTCGAACATTGAGGACCCAAGCACATATTTCCCGCATCCCACTGCTGTCGACGATATATTCAACTTCGGATCAGCCACGGACACAACCGAGGGTGTCCAGCAAGCGCCCATTTTTCCCAAGTTGCCCATCGACTACAACACGCTAGGGTTCATCTCCAGCAAATGGGGATACTATGCCATTTATCTCCTGGTGGCGCCTCCGCCGGTGGACAAAAGAAGCTATGTGACCGACGATTATGTCTTGTGCTCCATCAAGTCTGCTCAGTACCGCAACTGCACCACATACTATCGTGTCGCCCAGTCCGGTGGCCAGCTATCGGTCGAGTGCGATAAAAGCCGTGGGAACACTCTGCCCTATGTGCACGCGGTCAAGGATGCGCCGATTGGGGACTGGGTCGCGGATTGGAAAGACGTCGGGTCGGAATGGCTTCGGTCACTGTCGCTGACTGCAGGGGTCAACGACGCCAACGCCTCGAGTGCTCGCCTGCTCAGCCAGATGATCCCTGCATATTCCGCAGGTACCCCCACGGTGCTGACTTCCAACATGCCCACGATTGGCGAGGCCGTGGCGGTGCTGGCGGGGGAAACGGCGCTCTTGTCGTCGTCCAATGCGCCCTTTGTGCACTTCTGGAACTACTCGGTCGCCGTGCTCGACGAACCGCAGTACCAGAACTTCAAGGCGCGGGTCAGTTACAAGGACTACGCTTCGGGGGGCACGCAGACGTGGCAGAATGTCTTCTACGTCATCCTCGTGGCCGTGTTCCTGCTGAGCAGCTTCAGCCTCGTCTACCTGTTATGGACGTTCTGCCTGCTCGGCCGCGTGACCGACTACACGGAGCCGCAGAACATGTTTGCCCTGGCCATCAACTCGCCGCCCTCCAACACCATGTCGGGCACCTGTGGCGCGGGGCCCAGCGGCGGTCTCCTAGCCAAGAAGTGGCAGGTCGACATGCAGAAAGGAGGGGCCAGCCCGACGGATCGTAGCCAGCACCCACATTTCTACGTGCGATGTCGAGAGGACGGCGTGGCAGTCAACTCGAGTCTACGGAGGAAGCGGCGCAGCAGGCCACCGACGATCAGTTCTTTTACCGTTTCCGAGTCGCCGGCCGTGGAGCAGTATATGCGGCTGGCTGGGAAGGGTTGAGTCTGCATGCACGAGGAAACAAGGCAAGGCAGCAAAAGCGTGGCTGTATCGATACAATGATGTGGCCAGTACGTGCTAGTGATAATGTAATTTCTTTCTCTCCACCAGTCTTTTGTTCACTATGTGTCTCCTCGACTTGCCTGACAGCTTGGAGAGAGTGTCAAGGAACGGACTATGGTAGCGAACCCTTTCGCCGGTCATTCTCCAGTCCATTACCTCGCATGCCTGGCCAGGTCTGCCTCCTCACGCCGCAACTGAGGTCAGTCTTGTCCATCACGACGTCATATACTTGGTAGTTGTGTGACCTATTTCTTTCTCCCCCTATCTGGACTATCCCGGGACGCCACACCGCTCAGTCTACGTGAGTATGTCCTCTCAAGCCACGGAGACGTTGACCTTGTTCGTATCTAAAAGCGACACCGTTCAGTATTTCATCTCCCCATACACACTCACCATCTAACAAAGCCAGACAGCGCAAGGAAAGGAACTTACAAAACGCGATATGATCCTTGATATGCGCGGCCTTGTCCTTCGGCGCGGGATAATACCACGCGGCGTCCCTGATCGTCTGTCCCCCCACCGTGACGTCGTAGTAACTGGCCCGCCCTTTCCAGGGACAGGTCGAGTGCGTGGCCGACGTGGCCACGGGCACGGAGAGCGACGACGGCGGGAAATACACGTTCCCTTCGACGGTGTGGTAGGTCGAGGAGGAGGCGATGACGGTGTCACCGACGCGGGCTGTTGCGGTCGGCATTTTCTCCTGTTGTTTGGTAGGTAGTTCTTGCGAGATATGGAGAAGAGTGTTGGTGATGGTGGGTGGTGTTGATGAGGGTTGTGGGAGTGGATATATCGAGGACACGATGGATCTTATTTACTGGTCGTGAATACGATAGGGAAGGGACTTGTATATGTATTCATAGGAATTATTTCCATGCGAACCATACTCGTTACTGTATGCCTCATCATTTTTGTAGGAGAGGAGGCGAGGCTGCACGATTAGGAAGCATGGTAGGTACCTACGTCACGGACTGTGGAGGACGCCTGACTGACTGACTGGCTGGCTGACTGGCTGAGCATTAGAGTAGGTTCTAATAGGTCATTACTTTTGTAGGGGCCGCTATAAGGTCACGATTAGGAATCAACCTTTTAGGCTTGGGGCGCCTGGACCAGGTACGGAACACCATACTCGGTACCTCGTACTTTTTGTAGCTGTACTTACTTGTACGTTGTGAGGATTGTCTTATGGCCCGAGTATGCTTGCCTAGGTACCTACCGAGGTACATGCTAGATTCCTCGATTTTTTATTGCGACAAACCCTCGTCTACACAAATATCCCGACTACATTCCTCAGCCAGACGAATCTCAATTACGAGTACACCTCTTGACACTAAGCACTAAGCCAAACCGAGGATCTCACCGCCCTCCCCACCCCGCTCCCCCCGCAATGTCCAACGTGCTCCCAAAACATCCACATCTCTCATGGAACGACATTACCGAATACGCTCACGCGTTCGAGACAGGGGCCAACCGGCAAGGCCTTTGCAACCCCAGCCGCGCATGTCAAGCTGGGAAGAAAGTCTCCTCGAACATGCCTGGTCTCCTCTACCCGTGTCATGAATGGCACGTTTCTCAAAGAGCTCATCACGCGGCGTATTGGACAACCATCGAGGCTGAACCGGTCCTAAAGTCTTGCATCGTGCTTCCGTCCCTGGCCCTGACGATCATTGCCACAATGGCCCGAGCCCTTTGGCTCGCGTATAAAAAAAAACATGATAACACATTCTCTGTGGTATCAGTAACGCGTATTGCGCATGCCTGACCCAAGGCTTGGACTCTGAAATACGAACGAGTTCTCGGAGAGACTCGGTTCTCTCGACTGGGCATTTCTACGACTCGTGGACTAACCCGCCGAGGTCAGTATTTAAAGGGCATCAGAAACGATATGTTTGCTTTTGAAGTTCTCTCGAATATCCCCGTGGTGATCAGGAGAAAGCCGCTTCAGTTCGTCGACCCTAATCCGACGAGAGCGCAAAATGGCACACGTCTATAATCTCAACCAGGTCGCAATCTCGGTGCCCGACCTCGACAAGGCGATCGATTTCTACACCGAGCTCTTTGGACTCCATGTCATTGGCAAGATGGACGAAGAGCAGATGAAACATCTCGCCCCGGGCCACTCGATAAATCAAAGTGAATTATACCCAGACCTCTACGTCGTTCCTGAACCAGGGGAATCCTGGTTAGCCTGGCCCAGCCCGACAACCACACCTCCCTTTTCCTCTTCCTCTTCCTCTCTCTCCCCCCTCACGTAGACAATATCTAGCTAACTAACTCGACTCGACGACAGTGTACGGCCCCGAAATCAAGAAATTCAAAGTCGCCTTCCTCGTCACGGGCAACAGCGTCGGGTTCGAAATGTTCCAGTTCATCGACCCGCCGTACCAGGGCCCCACGGAGGTGCCCCCCAGATTCGGCCCGCAGGAATACACCCGGGGCGGGTTCTTCCACGTCGGCTTCACCGTCGAGGACCCCGAGGCCATCCTGGCCAAAGCGGTCGAGCTCGGCGCGAGGCAGATTGGCCAGATGACACGGCCGACGCCGAACCTGAGCGGCACGTACATGTACGATCCGTGGGGGAACGTCGTCGAGTTGATTAGTGCGGACTTTCAGCAGCTGTTTTTGCAGATGCTGGCGAAGAGCGGGGGTTGATAATGGTATGGCCGTGACTAGCTAATTTGTGGTGTGGTTCTCTCTCTAGATTGAGTTGAGTTGAGTTGGCTATACATATCTATCTAGCCAATAGTACGAGATAATGTTTACCGACTGTGTGAATCACACCATGCACAGTACCTCGTACAGTACCAGGTCAAAGAAAAAGGCTTGCTTGGGATTCCCAATCTTTTATCCGTTGTGTTTTTGTCCACGTTATAGGCACGTGTCCATATCTACCACCTACCACCAGTACCGACCCAGGACAAGTACTCGTAGTCCTTACTACTCGTAGATACCTCCCGTGGCTGGGATGACAAACCACACCCCCGACCTACTAGTATGTACATGGGGCTTAATGCAAATGCACGATTCCGTCAACATTGCTATCAGGTATTCCACGGTCAAGCGAAAAGCCGCGCATACACGGATCAGGCGTGGAACTATGAAATGGGGCCGATTATGTCAACAGTCGACAAGGATCTCGAGCTAACACCGCCCTCACGGAATAAAGTGAGAGGGATGAGAGGTATGACGTGGGCCTCTCGGACAGGATAAGATAAATGATATGGCATTGCTGAATGGTATACTCGGAGGAGCAATCGAGACGCATGGGACCAGAACAAGGACGATGGACAGTGTTCATGTCTGATAACCCCATTGAGGTCAACACTTACACAAGTACCCAGGCATCTAGGTATTCGTGCTGCTAGACCACTATCCTTCTGCCTCAACGCTTCTTCCTCGCACTAAAAGATTTCAACGGGTCAACCTTCCCCTTGGCTCTGCCGCCGAATCGCGTCTTGCGCCCTCCTCGCTTCTTGTTGTCTTTCCGCTTATTGTCTCCTCTCAACCCCACAAACCCGACTTCGTCAGCACTCAGGCCCTTTCGCCCTGCTGCCGGCATCAAATATTCTGGGACGTGTTTCAAGTGTCCCTGATGTCTGACAATCGCACCGTGTTCCCCGTCATGTCGCAGGTGTCGCAAGTCGTCCGGGTTCTCCTCGAAATGCCTGCGTAGTTTGTCGGATTTGATCAGTTCTTGTTTGATCTCCTTAGCACGGGCCTCGTGTACCGCAGCTCCAGTCACGGCACGCAGGGCGTCGTTCATACGATACCGAAAGGCGTCCACCTGTGCCATGTCGAAATGGTAAGGCTTCACTTCGTTGCCCTTCTTGGTCTGTCGGGCGATGATCTTCTCCAGAACACGTTCGTCATTCTTCGCCGAAGGAATGCTGGTCGCGCGGTGTTTGCCAAACTTGTCCTTGGGCACCACAAAGGACAAGGCCATTCCTGCCTTGCCCGCTCGCGCCGTGCGGCCAATACGGTGTGTGTAGGACTTGGACGTCAGAGGGAGGTCGAAGTTCATGACGCAGGCAACGTTCTGAAAGTCAATGCCCCTTGAAACTCCATAGTCCTTTTCATGTTTCTTGGACTGTCTGGCTTTCTTGGCCGGTCGTTGTACTTCCTCCTCGTCCTCCTCACTCATCTCATTGGCTGGATCTTCTGCGACCTGCCCCTCGGTCTTGCGCCTCTTCATAACGCCGCCAAGCACCTCTTGATCGTCTGCTGCGATAAGGATGTCGTAGAGCCCTTTGTTGAACTCCTGAACCACATGCAACCGAGAGTTGACCGGCAATTCGGCATTCAGCACACATGACTTGATCCCAAACTGCTCCAGATAGAGCTTGAGCCGATAACTTCTGTCAACGTCGGCCACGAACACTAAGCACTTTCCCTTAACGAGGCGCAATTTAAACAGAACGTAAATGAGCAAGAACTTCTCGTCCTCTCCGCACTTTACCACATACTGGGTCACTCCCTCGCCCTTCTCTTCCTTCTCATCGATCCTGACCAGTACCGCATCGCGACAGAATATGCTCTTCAACTCTTCGACCTCGGGCGTGAGGGTGGCGCTGACCAGGAATGTCTGCACACCGCGGGGGAGGGCCGTAGCGATTGCGTTGATATCGTCTTCATAGCCGTAGGAGAGTACGATATCAGCTTCGTCGATGACAAGTTGCTGGATATTTTCGAGGGACAGTGTGCCCGAGGTGAGATATTGAGTCGCTCTTCCAGGAGTGGTCACAATAACATCAGGGAAATCTTGTAGCACCGCGTTCATGACCGTGTCCGACACCCTTTGTGTCAAATTCAATGTCTGCACATCTTTCGAGCAGAACGCCGCAAAGGCATTGAAGGCTCTGCAGACTTGATCCGCCAATTCTCTCGTGGGCACCAGAACAAGGGCAGAGGTGACCTTGGTGTTGAGGGAGGAGGATTTTCGGCGCAGGATCGCTTGCAGGGTCGGGAGGACGTAGGCGGCGGTTTTTCCGGAACCTGTCTTGGATTTGGCAAGTACGTCTTTACCCTCGAGTGCTAGGGGAATGGCCTTTGCCTGCACGGGTGTAGGGTTGGAGAAGTCTGATTTTGCAATGGCCTGCACGAGGCGAGGGTCGAGGCCGAACGAGTCGAACGATACCTCGTCTTCCGCAGAATCTCGAGGGACCTCGACTGTTGGGGCATCATTTGCGTCCAATTTTCGCTTCATGACGGTCAATGTGAACCCAAGAGTGAGAGGAAGCGTTGCTTCACAACAAATGTAGTATGGTAGTGCACACTCCGCAATTTTGCCAGAAACTTTTTGCACGAGCGGCTAAACATCGGCACTGATTGACTTGCTGGATTATCCGCACAAGGCTGAATAAAAGCCTCGTCCGGGTTTTTACTTGTCTTCCAACTTTTCCCACCTGATGCCACCTGCTCTGTAGACAGAAAAAGATTTTACGTGATTAGCGCACCCGAATATTCGAAGAGATAAGTATTCGACACTACTGGCTCAGTAGTGTACACACGGCCATCATATCGTCTAACGGATTTATATTGGTAGACTGTAAGGTAAACAGCATTAAATAGTTCTCTGCTTGTGGCGAGCGCCTATCCGATGCCATGTCACTCGAAATAAGGGATGCCCCTGGTGATTTCCACAGAGAGTTGATGGATGTTGCGTTATATATGTACGAAGCACCGAGTTTGCAGATGAGCAAGATCACCGCCTTACTGCATCAAGCTAGTTTCCAATCTTCCTTCACGGCCGCTATTTCAGGTCAACCATCACGGCAAATGTTCCGTAAAAAGAGCCCAATGTGCACCCGGTATGACGTGGGGCAGGGCACTAAGAGATAACGTCTTTTTGTAGCCTCCAACATCTTTTTCCTTTCCGACATCTCTTTGCCTTATTTAACTTTCCTGCACTCAAGTTTCGAGCCTGGTTGGAAAAACCGTAACACAGATCCTCCTCTGCGTCCCTCAAAGTGTTTCGCCGTCTACTCGCCATCATAGGTCGACGACGTCGTGAGCGCCATCCCCAACCACGTGCGGGGCGCGGGAACATCTTCAAGATGGGCAACGAATCCTCCACCCCTATTGACGAGGCCACGCCTCCCACCACGCTCTATGGGCGAAATATAGAAGCAGTGGCTCAATACATCAAAGAGAAGGACATCAAGAACATTGTCGTCATGGTAAGAGCCCCTCCGACCCTTTGATGCTCGAGATCTGACCGTCTCCAAGACTGGCGCGGGAATCAGCACATCGGCTGGAATACCTGACTTCCGTTCTCCTGATACTGGGCTGTATGCCAATCTGGCTCGGCTGAACCTCCCATATGCAGAAGCAGTCTTCGACATCTCATACTTTCGAAACAACCCGTACCCGTTTTATACCCTGGCGAATGAACTGTATCCAGGCAAATACCGGCCGACGGTGACACACGCATTCATTAGTTTGCTTCACAAGAAAGGGCGACTGCTGAAACTGTTTACTCAAAACATCGACTGTCTCGAGCGGGAAGCTGGGGTCCCTGGCGAAAAGATTGTGGAAGCACACGGATCATTCGCTACTCAGAGGTGCATTGAATGCAAGACCGAGTTTCCTGGTGATCGTATGAAAGAGATGGTCCAGAAAATGGAGGTACCGCGCTGCATCAGGTCGACATGCTCCGGACTGGTGAAGCCCGATATCGTTTTCTTTGGCGAGGCCCTTCCAGAGTCATTCCACCGCAACCGAAGCCTGCCCGCAAAAGCAGATTTGGCAATTGTCATGGGGACCAGTCTGACGGTTCAGCCATTCGCTAGCTTACCGTCGTTTGTCAGAGAAGGTACACCGCGCGTGCTTATCAACCTAGAGAGAGTGGGATCCATCGGTTCACGGCCGGACGACGTGCTGCTGCTTGGGGACTGTGATGAGGGTGTTCGCAGGTTTGCCGACGCTCTGGGCTGGCGTGATGAGTTGGAAAATCTATGGGCTAGCACCAACCCAAACAAGGACGAGCGGGATGCACAGGAGGCGCCGCCCAAGACCAGGCAGGAGAAATTGGACGACGAGATTGCGAAGTTGACCAAGGATATTGATGCCTCACTCAAGATCTCCGCCGAGGCAAATGATAGAATAAGGGCTGAATTGGAAAAGAGTGCACCGCAGAAATCACCGCCATCAACCGGTCCCTCGTCCAACACGCTGACCTCGCCAACGCTAACCACGTCTTCAAACTCTGGACTCAGTCACGTCTATCCTCATCTAAGGCCAGACAAACCTGAAAAACCTTCTCTTTAGTGGTTTCTTGCTTGGCGTACCGAGCCACCGTGTTCATTCACATCTGAAATCAATATCAATCTGAACTGAAGGTCAACCTCAGAAGTCACTTAGACTTTCCCCAAACAGATTCTTTCAACTCAAGGGATTTTCTCTGGTCAAGTGAGCAAACTTCTTTCCTTCCTCATATCACCTTAGCACTGACCAACCACCAAGACAGAGATACCCGGCTTTGGTCTATACACACACTTTGACACATCTCTATTTGCCGCTCACCATGAGTGCCACAACGCCTCGCTCCAAGTCAGAGGGGAAATATGCCAATCCGACTATTCGAATCTTTGTTGGAAGGAAGAGACAACTGTTCCATGTCCACTATGCATTCCTCGAAAAGACCGATTTCTTCAAAGTCCATGGGGACCCTACATTTCCTACGGGCACCACGCCTACACCGACACGGACACCAACTCGAGTATCAACCCGTGCCGGGAGGTCTTTGGATTCACCAGTGCGAAGTGAACACACAGTGACGCCAGATCGAGGTAACATCAAAGAAGAGCTGGACTTTGAGGATGACACATATGAAAACGACGGTGAAAGTAATGGTGCTTCTCCAGCAGGTGCCAGCGATGCTGTCACGGCGTCGGCTTACCGGCTTCAGGGTCTGATATACGAACCTGAGGCTTTCGAGGTTGTTGTCAATTACCTGTACAATGAGCCACCGGACATACCTACTACTGGAAGTGAGTGCATCATACTGATGAAGGCATACATCCTGGCGCTCCACTACCGCATGCCGGGTCTTCAAGATGATGTGGTCGACTGTTTTCGAAAATACCATGCGGAATACGACGTCAAGTTTGCCCACCTTTTCTGGATCTCTGGGCGTGTCGGTGAGGGTGACGCTATGTGCAAGGTGCCCTTGATCCAGTACCTCGTTGACCAGATTGCTTTCGAGATCTTCCAGAGAGGGTACGATAACTTTGTCCAGAACAACACTGACTTTGAAGTCTTTCTCACAAAAGGCGATCGTCCTCTGCGCAAGGAACTCTTCAAAGCTATGTCCAAAGTTGCGGAGGAGAAGGATCCCTTGGACCCTGCGCTCGGAACCCATCGCTGGAGAGTTGAAGACTACCCCAAATTTGAGCGTGGCGACGACGCTTCTCCGACGTCCCTCGAAATCATTGATCTCGACTGAACCAGGCTTGTGTGTTCTACCGTCATGTGACTTCTGTCTGGCAGTGAAGAAGTCGTATGCTCGGATGCTGGAGGCGAACTACGGACCTGCCAGGAGACAAATTCTGTCACTTTAACCATGGTTCCCAGAAACAGAACTGTGAGTCAGCGTTGCACGGTTAGTCATGGCTTTCGAAGATCTCGCTGGGAAGAAAATTGGAACAAGGGAGACTTGCAGGCACACAAATCTTAAGCGGAGCTATTGGGAGCAGTTACTTGGTGGTGGATGGGAGAGCCTCATGACACAGACCCTTCAAAGTGGTGTTAGATTGGCGATCCTGATACCCGAAGGAGATAGCATCAACAGAAGCAAATACCGAAATGCCCCTCATTCCCCTATTCCCTTATTCCCTTCCTGACATAAGCGGCATCATTCTGTCATACTTCATTAGCTGCTGGTACCGCCTGATGCCGCCGCAAAATGCCCCTGTTTCGACCCACTGGCTTCGAGACTCAAAACTACCCCGCCAAACTTTTGCTGTATCAACATTTTGGCCTCCGTTTCTCGCCGCGAAAGCTTGACCAGGAAACAGCTCCTCTGAGACGCCTCACCTGAGGTCAAATCTGTTCATATTTCCCAGCTTGATTACCCCGAACCTCTTCCTCCACCTATCTACCTCCCCTCTCTTCTTGTCTCTCAGCGTCAACAGTCGAACACAGGCACAATGGTCGGGTTGGGTCCAAAGCGAAAGCCGTCCCGCAAGGGTAAGTGATGATGTCCTGGGAGTTGGAACGGAATGATTGGGTTGCTAAATCTCGTGGTTTCTCACAGGTTCGATGGCCGATGTGCCAAAGAGCTTGCTGGACGAAATCGCCAACCTCGAGAACCTGTTCACCGTGGACGCCGAGCGGCTCAAGAAGATCACCGACCATTTCGTGTCGGAGCTCCAAGCTGGCCTGGAGAAAGAGGGGGGCAACATCCCCATGAACCCGACCTGGGTCATGGGCTTCCCGGATGGCAATGAGCAGGGCACTTTCCTCGCACTGGACATGGGCGGGACCAACCTGAGAGTCTGCGAAATCACCCTCACGGAAGAGAAGGGCGAGTTCGAAATCATCCAGAGCAAGTATCGCATGCCGGAAGAGCTGAAGACGGGAACGGCCGAGGAGCTGTGGGATTACATCGCCGACTGCATGCAGCAGTTCATCGACTTTCACCACGAGGACGAGGATCTGGCGCATCTGCCCCTCGGGTTCACGTTTTCTTACCCGGCAACGCAAGACTACATTGACCACGGTGTGCTCCAGCGATGGACCAAAGGATTTGACATCTCAGGCGTTGAAGGGCAGGATGTGGTTCCCCAGTTCCAAAAAGCTCTTGAGGCACGGGTATGAACAACTACGAGAAACCCTTCTGCGGTGACTGATTGACTGATCGCACACCAGAACCTCCCGATCAAACTTGTCGCCATCATAAACGACACCACCGGCACGCTGATCGCATCAGCCTATACAGACCAGACTATAAGAATTGGGTGCATCTTTGGAACTGGCTGCAATGCCGCCTACATGGAGAACTGCGGCTCAATACCAAAGATCAAACACCTCAACCTCCCCGACGACATGCCCATGGCGATCAACTGCGAATACGGCGCCTTCGATAACGAGCACAAGGTCCTTCCCATCACGAAATACGACACCATCATCGACGAGACCTCGCCACGACCGGGCCAACAAGCTTTTGAAAAGATGATCGCCGGGTTGTACTTGGGCGAGATCTTCCGGCTCGTGCTCGTCGACCTGCACGAGAACAAGAACCTCCTCTTCGAGGGCCAGGACATCTCGGCGCTGAAGAAGCCCTACACGCTCGACGCGTCGTTTCTGTCCTTCATCGAAGAAGACCCCTTTGAGAACCTGCACGAGACGCGCGACATGTTCGAGGACAAGCTCAAGATCCAGGCGTCCAAGCCCGAGCTGGAGCTCTGCCGCCGCCTGGCAGAACTGATCGGCACGCGCGCCGCGCGCCTCTCGGCCTGCGGTGTCGCGGCCATTTGCAAGAAGAAGAACATCGAGAGCTGCCACGTTGGCGCCGACGGGTCCGTCTTCAACAAGTACCCGCACTTCAAGCAGCGCGGGGCCGTCGCGCTGCGCGAGATCCTCGACTGGCCAAAGGGCAAAAAGGACCCCGTGGTCATGATGAGCGCCGAGGACGGCAGCGGCGTCGGCGCCGCCCTGATCGCCGCCCTGACCCTCAAGAGAATCAAGGAGGGCAACACGGTCGGGGTGCGCGACGTCGGGAACTTCCCCGGCCTGACGTAGTACGTATATAACCTACCCCGGAGAGGGGTCGGAGAGGGAATGTGTGGAAGTGTGCAGCATTTTGGAGATTGTCGGACGACCGAGAAAAGATGGTCTGGAGCGAAAGACTTTTTTTTATAGAGATTTTTGTGCCATGTATATCATCATGATGCATGCACGTATGCCGTCCATGATGGTACCACCTACTACCTACTACACGACCGACGCAAATCCGAGGGCATTTACAGTACTGACCCCAGTGGGTGAATGTACAGGCAAGCCTCATTCTCGTATCTCCCACAGTCTGATCTTCCCCTGCTCGTTCCCCACCGCGAGGTAACTTCCATCCGGCGACAAAGCGGCGGCACTGATTCTGCCCAGGGGCGTCTTATCCGTCGGCCAGTTCCTGTAGAGCGTGCAGCTGGGCAGGTGCGCCAGGCGCAGGGCGTTCTTCTTCCAGCGCGACGTCATGACCAGCATCTGGCCGTCTTGGGAGAACTCGAGTTGCGAGATCGGCGTCGTCAGCTGGTCGAACATCCGGGCGGGTTTGGGTCTCTCGTCCTTGGTGGCGACGAGGTCGCTTGAAGTGGTGGTAGTGCCCATCCACCCGCGTCGATCGTAGAGGTTGACAACTCCGCTAGAAGAGCCCACGGCGACCCAGCGGCTGCCGCCCCGGCACTGCTGTTGTCCGGAATCCCCGCCCAAGGCGATGACGGTCGTGCCGACGGCGCCGTCGTCCATCCACCTCATGACTACCCTCCGCGCCTCGATGTCATACTCGCTAACCTCCCCATTCTTTCCCACCACCGCAAACCCGTCCCCGTTGCGCCACCACGCAAAGTCCGCCACGCCACCGCGTGAATCAATCCGACAGCTACACACCCACTGCAAGGTCTCTGTCGACAGCACGTTGATGCTCCCGCCTCCCTTCTTGGACGAGCCGATGAGTCCGATGTAGCGGCCGCAGGGGGACAGCTTGAAAGCTTCCATAGTTCGCTGCTCTTTGCGGGCCTGACCGTAGAGTGCACGAGTTACTTTGGTGACGGTGCCGGTGGAGAGTGACCAGGTATGGAAATACCGCCGTCGAGAAGAGAGAAATACTTTGGTCTGGTCGTGTGCCTCGTTCCCCTCCTCGGCAGCAGGTTGGGCTCGTGGCCGGCAAAATGCCGCCGTGTGCAGAGGAGTTCCCTTCAGATGTAGCGAGGTTAGAATGGGGTTTGGATTCGGCGGTTGAGGTGAGATGTGGTACAACGTCACTGTCGAACTTGGTCCGGCTGCAAGAAGAAGAGGGTAGTATGGGTGGAACTGCAATGTGTCGACTGAAGAGGGACCGGAGCCCGCTACATCTTTGCATCGCTGGATGTCGATGACTTCCGGCCGCAGCTTCCGGGTCGATTTTGTGCCTGGTCTTTTGGTATCTGTCCTAGTCAGAGATCCTGCTGTTCGGAGAAGTTCCGCCAGAGGTTGCGCTGAGGGGAGGGAGTCGTTCTCGTCCATGGACACATCTGAGTCTGATACCGCATCCTGATAATCGGAGCGGGAGGACA